AGGAGAAAAAAGTATGCATCAAATATGGACATTTCAGCAACAAGTATCTGACGCACAAGTTACCTTTCTGCTCTTTATATGTACCGCCATTACAGATATCCTTAATTTTCATCACTTACAAAGATTACTTCGCGAGCCGTGAAGTTCGTCAAAAATATTAACCTTGAATCATAGCTAAACCAAAGAACGACGTGATGAAAGTTTGGTTTTGGCTATTAGCAATTTTATAAATTTAAATACAAGCATGAAGGTTATTACCGTTATACACTAAAAAAATATACAGTAACAAATTTGCATTGCAAATATCTGCCAATAAAGAGCAAGAAATATTTTCTTTTATGATGAAATCGCAGTTAAAGTCAATGATCAGTTAATTTATTTTAACCACGTTCAAAGAATTTTAAAATTGATATATTATAATAGCTTCCTCTGTATATGGTGATTAGTATTCAATAAATGACATATAAGGTGGAAAGTTAACAGGTTGTTATATTCAACAAATTCGACTTTTTGACATTATATTAACTATTGAAACTCCTAATGCTTTCAATAAGTAAAAATTTAACTAACAATTTGGGACAGTTAGGCGAGCTGTTATAATGTATAACCACAGATAAAATGAAAAGTTGTTAACATATTTGCAATTTAATTTTAAAATATATATAGAGAGAAAAAACCGTTTTTGATGAATACCTTTTGTACTGTGTGACTTAAAAATTAGATTGCCATCATTGTTTCTTTTATACTATTTCTGAACTTCTTATGTATGTTTTAAATCAACCGAAGTCTTTGCTATCAATCAAAATGCTAACTAACCTTATATGAAAATATATCATAATTTGTTTTTTGTTCCCCATAGATGAGTACTTATATCATTGTTTTAATTGGTTTCCCAAGTGACAAATATAGAGTACTAGAGTACTAGTAGTAAATAATACAAAGATAGTTTTTTTATAAAATTACGTGGCTTAAATTGTTTGATAATGCAACGTCGAAGACTTTTAAAAAAGTTGTTGAGTAAAAACAGTTTGATAATCGGACTAAAAACATTTCAGTGAAAGTTTTTCGAAAAAGTAAAAATAAATTGTGTCGAAACTTTTTTTCTAGACATACATGTAGTCCAAAAAACTCGGTTTGCTTCCTGTAAAGACGAACTCGCATCATGCACTTTATTAAAGTATTTGTTTTCTTTCCAAAGATTGTGTTTCTTGAATGAAAGATTTCTCCGAACAACCTGTGAGGCAGGCGAGATTTCAAATTGAATGATTCAAGCTTAAAATTCAAATGTGTAGCGCTTATCCATATTATTGATACCAGGCCGTGATTGAAAATCTGCAATACTCTTCAGTGTTGCTAAAAAATTCAAAATTCTACAAAGTTTTCGCATCTATTGAAAGGGACAGAAATAATCTGTGGCTGGTCCAATATGTTAAAAAGGATATGTCATTATCATACAGTACCTATGCGCGGATTCAACCATTTTGAAAAGGGGGGTTCCAACACACGAAACACAATTAAACGTTCACATACATTGTATCCAACAAACAAACTCACATTTTAAATTTTAGAATTAAAAAAAAAGGGGAAAAGGGGGGTCCGACTCCCGGTACCATACAGAACCGAGATTCTGACACAAGTATAAGATGTCAAATATGAAACTATTTTTTTCTTCTAAAAATAGTAAAAGGGTTGATTTCGAATGTGAATAATTTTGTTTATATTTCCACCAATAAAAATGAACTCTTCAAATTTAAAAACCTGTTTAAATTTCGTTTCATCTCAGCTTCTATTAAGTGTTCTACGACTAATCTTTTTGTACTTTTAACTAGTTCCCTCACTGCACTTCTCTTATTCATCTTTTTGACCGGGCCCGATTTTAGTAACATCTTTCAAAATCTTCCCGAATTATTTTAGTTTGCAAAGAATTCCACTCAATCCGGTGCTAGGGGCCGCTTTTAACTTGCAGTGAGGTTAGAGTTTTTTGGCTCCGAGTTGAAGACCTCACTGTGACTTTGAGATAAATCACAGCAATTAAATCGTTGTTCTTCAGCTTTTTGTTTGTTTTTTCCTGTACATGTACTGGTTTTGTGTCATTGATGGATACCTCACATAACCTTAAAGTTTGTTTTTCTATTAGTTATTAATATTTGAAATAAAGAATATGAAATAATGGAATAAAATAGTTTTTAGAGTGTCAAAACTTTTTTGATGTTTTGGATAAATTGCATGATTGTCCGTTCAATTGATTCAGTTGACAGCTATGATTTTTCGACTCTGTACACTAAACTACCACACTAACTTAGCAAACAGAAGTTTAATAAAATTGTCCTTTGAAACATATACATGTAGATTTATTTGCTGTAACTTATATAAAGCCTTCCTCTGTCCTGAAAGGGTATTATGATCGATATCCTTACTGGAACTGTGATGAGATGATTAAAATTTGAAAGTTTCTTCTTGACAACATTTATGTACATTAGGGCAATAAAGTTAATCGACAGGTTGTAGGTATTCCTCTATGGGCACCAATTGCGCCGCTTTATTAGCAGACTTGTTTCTGTATTGTTATGAATCACAGTTTATGGCATAACTCAGTAAAGGTCCGCCTAAATTACATTTAATGATTAACTTTAAAGACCGTCCCGTTACCTTGGTGACATTTCTGCTTTAGATAAACAAGAGTTTTCGAATTTTACTCTGGAAATTTACTCAATGGAACTAATTTGAATAAATCTAATTCAGACAGCAATAATAGTGTCTTTTTCTAGATTTAGATATTTCAGTTTCACATGAAAACGCTATACAAAAATGTACGACAAAAGGGCCGATTTTTCGTTCCCGATGAATAATTTTCACTTTTTGGACGGTGATGTACCTTTGTCCACTTATTACTGTTTGTATATTTTACATTTTGTTAGCTATGTCCGAATCTTTAGTTATTATTAGATTCACTGATCGTAATTAAAGTATAACTGAATTCGTTACAACACATTTATTAAAACCTTTACCAAATTCTTTCATAGATACAAAAATTTGGTTAGAAATTTTGGCTGTACCTGTAGAATTCTTATCAAAAAGGAATTTTACGGTGATGTTGTTTATAAAGCCCGTAAATGTAGATACGATCCATGTAAACTAATTGATCATTCGAATAAACGTATTCCTAAAGGTTATCCATTCAACACCGTTGTATACTCTTGAAATATTGTTTTATTGGTACTTACATTGATTTTATTTTTGAAAAATTAAAACATACTAAATATATATTGCTATATATGTACAGTTATGAGAACTCATTATCCTTCATCCTGTCAATATTGTCCACTTATATTTAGTCTTGCACAAGATCATGCATTTCTCAGATTTTTCATGACTTTTTTACACTAAATCCGTTATGTATGTACTTATTGATACTTTTGTATGGAAGAACATGATTTATCTATCAGTTGTAATTGGCTTTGAACTAGCTTTCATTTATTGCGATTACTTTTGTTTCTGTGCTTTGTTTCTATTGTTTTATGATGGTTGTTTTGATGCATCGTACCGATCGTTTGAGTTAATCCAATTGCTACTGATTTTTATAGTTTGTTCTTATGTTGTGCTGTTACACCACTGCCCCATGTTAGGAAAGGGTTGAGCACTCACAAACATGTTTACCCCCACCCCTTCCCACCATTTTTTATGTGGGTGTCCCAAGTCAGGAGCCTGTAGTTCTATAATTTTGGTTGGTTCATGTCTGTTAAATTTGTTTTTCGTAAAATGTTTATAAATTAGGCTGTTGGTTTTCTTGTTTGAATTGTTTGACATTTTTCATATCGGGGCCATTTAAAGCCGACTATACATTGTGGGATTTTCTCATTGTTGAAGGTTGTACAGATGGCTATAATTGCTAACATCGACTTTATTTAAACTCTGGTAGATAGACGTTGTCTTATTGGCAATCATACAACATCTCCTAATTTTTTTTAATTAAGACTAGTACATCAGCAAGTGATTGGGAGAAAACCAGACCTGCACCTAGTATTACGCATTACATGGGTAAAGAGCTCGAGGAAGCAATCAAATCAGCAAACTGAGTTTACACCAAAATCTCTTTCAATTTCCCTGAAAAATAGGGATTTGAATTTTTCAATTTGGACGTTCAATCACAGTAGTGAGTTAATATATAGTATTATCTTGTTAATATACATGTAAACACTTTTATTTTGAATTTTAAAAAAGTTGATTAATAACGTAGGTCTTTCAAACATCGATACATTAAAAAGAAGACGCTGTGGGGTACACAAATACAATATATAAGACCGCAACACAAAACACAAAAAGCCAAAAGCCTTCCATATGTCAACAAACTATCTTCAACAATAAACATGTACTTACCTATACAAAGTTTCAAGATCTAAATCCAACCGAGTTATAAACATTCGTACATAAATTTTATTCAGGGTTGGGCTCCAGCTAACATGTTCAACCCAGCCACATTCTAGGTGTGCCTGTCCCAAGTACGGAGCCTGTCATTCAGTGGTTGACGTCTGTTGTTGTGTTACATATTTGATTTATGTTTATTATTTTGTACATAAATTAGGCCGTTAGTTTTCTCGTTTGAATTGTTTTACATTTTTCATTTCAGGACCTTTTATAGCTGACTATGCGGTATGGGCTTTGCTCATTGTTGAAGGCCGTACGGTGATCTATAGTTGTTAATTTTTGTGTCATTTTTTGGTCTCTTGTGAAGAGTTGTCTCATTGGCAATCATACCACATCTTCTTTTTTTATATTAACAGAAACTATCAAAGACCTGACACTAATACCAAATTAACAAATCACGAAACAACATTAAGATATATATAAAAAAAACAATCACAGATACTGTTTCTGACTTGCGAGAAGCACACGAAAAATGAACATGTGGCGGGGTAAAACTATGTTTTTATTTATATAGATCGAACAACCCCCTCTCATTTTCTGAATATTGATCAGTTGGAAAACAAAAGATACACGGATAAATGTTATACAATTATAATGAAAATCAATACAGGAAACAAACTTTGCTCTTTATCTATACGATACCGGTATAACAGACAATAAAACACAAAGTATAAACACAAAATCAATAAATAATAGCATATATATCAAAGAATGCTCATAGTTTCGGAAACATGCTTATTGTTTCTTCAATTTTCAAAGCTTTCTAATATTTTACCTTTATAGTAAGTTTAACCTCATAGAAATCAGGTATATTCTAAATTGTACATGTATTGCCTTACTATAGCAACTAATGTTTAAAGTCTTGTAGTAAAAAACAACCGTTATGAGTACAACTACTACTAAAATAATCCCTGGTTTCATGGAAATCTTTAACATGTTTAATAAGTACACTATGAATTGCATTAGTTCTCAATTTTTAGTGCAAAATCATAGCCGAGTAAATTTTGGTTTAAAATTGTCTAAATATATTCTTTTCACCAAAATTTTCATTTTGCAAATTTGTTAGTTAGTTCACACAAACAATGACACCAAAAGCACTATTTTTTGTCAGAGTATTGCTAGTTCTATGTTCTTAATCGCAGTGAGTGAATTGGTGGTCTGACACCTACACCGTAATATCCGTTAAGCTGCGCCTCGGGGTTTATTTCATACCGAAATTTCGTAAACAGTACTCGTGATGGTTGACAGAATCTTATTCAATGCCAACAATTATTTTTTCCCGAATTCAAATGTTAAATTTAAATGAAACATTGTAGTTTTATTTTAAACTGTAAAAAAAATCAATGAGTTGGTATTTAGCCTACAAAATACCAGACTCAATACTGAATGACAACAGTATAATTATAAACTGTATCAATTAAATAATTATGTGAAAAACACGAACTTAAAAATTAGTTGCAAAGCTTGCTGTCAACCGTATTTTACTATTTGTGGAATTCTACTTTTTAATACTTCTATCAAATTCTATTAACATCCTGAACATTGTGAAATCATACTTTAACCATAAAACCCTACATTTGTTTAAAAATCTAGTAAACGTTTTGAGCAATTTATGATACAATTTTCCCTGGATAAACTGTTTTACAAAAAACAATATTACGTTCATTGAAATCTGACAAGTCACTGCAAACATCCGAATATTGAATAATTTAGAAAATGTACACTGCTTTAAGGAGTCAACGGAACATCACATTCAAGGAAATGGCAATCACCAACATAATAGGAAAATTGAGTCCTCACATTTTCCATATACATTTTAGATGGCCATGGGTGGAACACTTAGTGGTCTTCTAAGAGTATTTAACACTGCCTGCCAAAACAAGGCTTCCCCTATGCCTTTCTTATAGCGTAGGTACGGTGTTGTATGTAACAAGGACCTTATACCACTGGTCATATGATATGCATCAATCGCCTTCAGCATGATTAGAACACATGCATCTTTTCCTTGCCGACGTCTTCTTTCTTGAACATAATCACATTCCCATTGGCACCAATCGCTTCTAGCAAAATCATTACTCATTATGATCACAACTTTCCACGATTTGTTCATATACTTGTCTATATTTTCTGTAATTGGGACACCTAGATCAAATTCACGATGATGAACACATAACTTAATTTGTTCATTTTCCAGTCGTTTGATGAACTCATTATGAACCCATTCCCTATCAGCATCGCAGTACACTACAAATGCATGGAATTCAAAATCATCACTATTGTTTAGACGTAAATATCCCTGTTTACGAAGTCGATGCAGTCTCATAATATAGCAATAGTTCTTTATATAGGTGTGACATTTGTAAGCTACTAATATTACAATTATTACCGTCATTGCAAATGAAGACAAAATTATTGCGATTACTATAATCGGATTAGTTGGTTCGCAACTCTCTGGCGTTGGGTTGTATTTAATAACTAAACGACCTCGCATTTCAGCAGGAAAATTACATATGTACCCTCGTGGAAAATCTAAAGACAAGTTTACTTTTGTTGTTCGAACCCAGTTTCGAAACCACATGAGGTCACATGTACAAGTAAATGGATTCTTTGCAAGGTCCAATTTTTCTAGTTGGTGCAAAATGTTTTTAGATAAAGATGATTTGTTCAGTGCATGTATCAAATTACTTCTGAAGTTTATATACTTTATGCTGCGCATATTATCAAAAGTTTCTGTCGGCCAAGAATTTATATAATTTCCTTGAAGAATTATTTTCTCTAAGGATGTCAAATTTCTAAAAAAGGTAGGATGAAGTTCTTTTAAACCGACCGATTGTAGAATCAAATATTTCAACTCATCCAAATGACCAAACATCAGACCCAGTGTATTCTTGTCAGACGGAAGATAGTTATTCGTTAAATCTAAAAATTGTAATGACGGCGAGTGTTTAAATATTTGTTCTGCATTAAACCTAGAATTATTGTTATTAGTCTTGTCGAATCGGAAATTGTTGTATCCAAAATGTATACTGATCAACGACGTGCTGTTGAAAGCTGTAGGCTCTATTGATTTCAGCTGATAATTAAGTTGAAAGAAAACATGTTTTAATTGAGGTAGTTCTGAAAAGGTATTATTCCTTAAAACCATTAACCTATTGGCATGTAGACTTATGTTCTGCAATGATGGCATACAGCTGAAACATTTTGGATATAAATAACGTATAGCATTGCCGTTCAAAATCAGATTTCGAAGCTTCGGAACTTTGCTTTTGTTCATTGGATCACAAAAAGTTGGAATGCGAACGAAATCATTCCTTGAGAGATCAAGTTTTTCAACCAATAATTTCACATTATCCTCAAGAATTAAATATATGATATTATTTTCTGATAGGTTGATCGTTTTTAGGTTTTTTAATTCAGTATACCAATTAGAAAACACGAATGTAGCCAGCTGATTTTCTTCAAGCGATATGGAAGTCAATTGTCGTAGGCTGTTTGCCTTAAAAATATTAAAGGGAATATCTTTCCAATAGTTGCTAAACAAATGAATTCGCTTGAGATGTGTTGTATTTACGAAGACCAATGCACTACACAAACTAGTAACATTCAACTGTTTTTCATCTGAAATTGTCAGTGATTTTAAAGAAACAAAATCCACAAAGACGTCATTTTCAACATCTTTTATAGAATTTCCGATCAATTGGAATTCTTGGATATCATTTTTAGTAATATTTGATAAAAACCATCTAGAAATATTGACATCACTGAAATTGTTATGGCTTAATTCTAATTTTTTAACAAATTTTGGGACGTGTGGAACATAATCGAGTCCTGTACAAATCGCACTTTGCTGTTTCTTGTTACACGTACAGTGCGGTTTGAAACAAAAGTTTTCTGTTTTGTGAATTCGTGTATTCACTGTCTGCAGAACTGATCCAAACAAACACATCAAATGAATTTGCCTCATGTTCACGTGTTCTCATAACAATCTGAAAACAAACATGTTCATAAATATCTGTACCAATTGATATCTAAAGTATGTTAAGCTGTTGCCATCAAATCAAAGGCAAAAAAGATTTTACAAAGTAAGAAAACAATCACACACATCATAGTATATTAGTAATTCATTAGAAACCTAGTGCCCTGTGCGCGCAGCTATTCCACATGTACCTGAAATAACTGAACAAATTGTTTTTGAAATGAATAATTGATGAAAGTGCCAAGACGGAACTGGACTAAACATTAGTAGATGGTATGTGATTTTATAGAATTTTGTATGCATTTATGACTAGTTGAACTGCATTTGAAAATCGAAAAAATTTGGGCGATTTATACATTTACTCCCAGAGAAATAAAATCCTTTTTTTTTTATTTATGCATAAATAAATAGAATGCACGTAAAAATACGATAGATATTCTATAATTGCACTTTCAACTGCAATTTCACGAACAATTAGCGAAATAATCTTGTTTGAAAACTACATTTATTGAATATTTTCGTTTAAATAATGATTCACATTATAAGGTAATTGAATTTATTTATTGGTATACATCATGGAGTGAAAAATAAAGTTAAAATAGCAGTATAGGATTAACATGAAGACGATATAAAATAAGTTTTCTTTTATTATTTATATTTATGCATCACTGACATTTAAATAATTTAGAAGACAAAATAATGCCAGTGATCAAAGAAGATAGTATTTTCACTTATTTTTTATATAGATTATGAATAAACGGAGATAAAACGAAGCACCGTCTTACTGCGTTTATGTATCCCAACTTGTTTGCTATGCCCGTGTCTGTAGCGGCGTTTCTGATTTCAATGATTAACCCCACCACATTATGTATGTGACTGTCCCAAGTCTGGAGCCTGAAAATATACTGTTATTCCCATATGTCGTTTGTTGCTGTATATAATATTTTTCATTGGTTTGTACATAAATCAGGCCGTTAATTTCTTGTGTGAAATAATTTACATACATCATTCGGGGTCCTTTTATAGCTTACTATGCAATATGGGTTTTGCTCATTGTCAAAGGCTGTACGATGATCTATAGTTGTTAACGTTTACGTTATTTAGTCTAGTAGAGAGTTGTCTCATTGGCAATAATACATCTTTGTATTTTTATATTGACAATGCATAATTTTAACGTGTGCAAAATGAATTGTTCATTTATATATATATATTGTCTTCAAGTGAGAATTCTCAGAACTTGTTTTTTAAATATTTCTCAAATAATATTCATGTTACTGAAAATGTGCGGTTTTCACAATATAACACAGATAAATAATTAAAATCGGCAGCAAAAGTTCGTGGTTTTTTTTTGTTAGCTGTACACATGGTCCCGTTTTTTTTTATAATTTTATATATATAACACATTTTCCGTAACTATGAACTGATTTTGGAGACTGGTCGAGGTAAAAGGTTTTCCTACCTTAAATCAAATGTTTGTATCGAGTACAGAGACTACCAGCGGTCTGAATCAAACCCCTTTTCCCGTGATAAGAACAATGCCAAATTATTAGGGCAATTTGTTGATGCAGAGATCGTCTTCTTATCATAATCAAATTCTGGTAACCCAATTAATTAATTGTTGTTTATTTGACATCCAATGACACAAACGCATTGCTGTTACAGCTTTCGTGAAAATAGCCAAAGAAATTACTGATTGATTTATGCCCTAAGCATCACAGAGAATGTGGAAAATCTTTTGATAATATTACAAAAAGATATTTTTACAACTAACAACTTAGATGGTTGTTTTTTTCTGATATGATAAAAAGTTGAAAATACGTACGGTTGGTTCTTAATATAACGTTCCTCTTTTTATCTGTTAAAAACTGAAATCAAAACTGAATAGTGTTCTGACGAATTCACGGACTTAATATACATTTTAACTAAAGGCAATAGGAAATAAAAAAAAACGCTTAAAATTTAGAGAAATACTTCCTCATTTAAATGATATAACATTTGTTTAAAAATAAAACACTTATAACTTTTTGTGAAAGATAGAAAACGATTGATTTGTTGATCACTTTTTTTTCATTAAATCAACAGATTTCCTGTAAATGCCCATTCTTAAAATGTTAAAATTATTCGAAACACTCGGGTTTTTCCACCACCAAGAGTTTATTATATATGGCCTCATTCAAAACTTTTTTAATTGTTTGGTTTTCAATACATTCAATACATTCATCTACAAAATTGATTCGACCATTCAATTGTCACAGTTTTGATTCTAGAACCACTGTTGGGCCTTCGGTATGCGAAATTCGAGTTGATCGATTTGCCGTGCTAAATTATAAACCAAGAACCGTCGATTGATTTTTAGATGAGAATAAAAACCTGTATAGCTCCTTCACTATTTTTGGCCAGTCGAAAACTGCCAACAGGAAACCCACTTATTTGAACAATGACATTAAATGCAGTAGACTGCCTGCAGTAGCTACAGCTGATGGTTTGGAGTCTCTAAAAAAAACCCTTGCACCAATTCTTTAATGAGCCATTGGTGGAAAGGTAAAAGGTCAATTTAATTTCTACTGTTATTCAACATAACGTCGTTTTCCATATATGTTAAACTGACGGTTTCAACTAACGTTTTATACGTATGACTTGCATTATAATATTTCTGTTTCGGAACATATGAGTATTTGAACCGTACGCGTATGGTCATAACCATATCTGTATACTCATATGGTCCGACCATACGCGTATGCTCGGACCTTATAAGTATTATACTCGTTTGGATATTAACGGGTCGGACTATATGAGTATTTATACCATAAAGGTATTTTTCGAATAAATTCTAGCTTTCGTAGGAACACACAGCTCATGCCCGAACAAAAAACGGCTCAAGTTACTCATCGAATTACTTTATTTCTTTTCATATATTATCGGAATGTTTGTATATTTGTTATTTTATCTTCGCTAGCGTCAATTGAATGTGACTTTCTCCTGGCTGTCGACTTTTTCGTCCGTAAGTAAAACCACAGCGTTTGAGACATGTACCGTTTTTTTTTTTTTTTTTTTTTTTATTAAATTATTCCAGAAACATATTTATTTCAATTTCGACTTTATTTCACTTGTACGATCATGTCTTGTTGCAGCTATATATATACGATCTCAATGTTATTCAAAAATAATCAAGAAATTTTAATTTAATAAACACCATAATTTTTACTTTTAATAAACACCATAATTCTTACTTTAAAGTAAAATTCACTTTGCTTGATTAATCATGTAACACTGATTACCATTTGATTGAATACGTCGAAATTTCATTTTAAGGAACTCATAATTTTGCGACACTTTTTCAACGTTGACACTGATCTTTTAATTACCCGGACCATACGCGTATGGTTGGACCATATGAGTATATACACATATGGTCATGACCATACGCAAATGGTTCAAATACTAATATGGTCCGGAACATTTCTAATTAAGTATAATGTATATTGTATATTCTTCTATCGTTTGTGTTCTCTTCTTTATCAGGGCCTATGCCAATTCTTTTTAATTCATACTAATAAAAGGTGCATAAAACATCTCAAACAAATGACAGTCGTTCAGTGGAAATAAAAATTATACAAAAATATACAAAAATCGAACTGCATATAATCAACAAATTAAAGGCAAATGTATTGTAATACTAAGCTCACAATAGATTCAGAAAAGAATTGCCAACTATAACGAAATCTTAACTTAGCATTAAAGAAACAATTGAAATCATTAGTAAAAGTATTGTCTTTATAAGTGTGTTTGGTTCAGTCACAACTGTTACATAAAAGCAATCCTTACACGAATACATACGTTTGCTACTGTTCAAATACGAATTAGTTCCATGGACATATAAATGCATTGAATAAATGGAAGATTTCCATAATGCGTTAAGTGGTAAATATTTCACTTCTATTAAGTTTTAGAATCAAGAAAAAGAAAAGAGTAAGTTCATGCAGGGCTTAAATTGGCCTTAATATTTTAACGTTTTAAATTACTACAAATTTTGCATAGAAGTAGTTGTGATAAAACTATCAATACAAATAACTTCTTTTTGCCACATCACATATAAAAATACCTTAGAAAAGACCACTTAATTATGCATTATTTATTTGTCCCATCGATTCTGGTCCATTTTTTCCCCTAATTTTAACATTTTCAAAATGATATAATTTACTTTGGACGCAAATCCTGATCTATATTTTGTTTGTGTCGAGGGAGTCAATATAATAATTTGGATCTTTTGGATACAGGACTTAGGATCGTAGGTGTGGCCATTTATGCGACTGTTATACAAGTGAGAGGTTAAGCTAGCTATAAAAATCAGGGTTAATCCATCTTTTGCTACATAAGAAAATGCCTGTATCAAGTCAGGAATATGACAGTTGTTGTCCATTCGCTTGATGTGTTTGAGCTTTTAATTTTGCTATTTGATTAGGGACTTTTCGTTTTTGATTTTCCTCGGAGTTCGGTATTTATTTTATGTTATTTTACTTTTTTGCAATGCGGTACAACAGACTGTGATAGGATTGCGTTTCGATAGTACAGAATATGGCGCCAGTTGTAGGATTTCAGATGCGTGGATTTCAAATGAAATGAATTGGCTCAAATGAAAGGTAATAACTTAGGGTAGGGCTCACTGAAAAGGTTTTTTTTTTTTTTTGGGGGGGGGGGGGGGGGGGGGGGGGGGGTCGGCCTTTTAAGGAATTGTTGGAGTTCAAAGTTGCCGTTAAAATCAAATATTACGTGTCCACCTAACCCTCTTTCGGTAAGCCCCGCCAGCTCCGTACGGCAAAGTTCTTTACCGGACATGGCTCAAATGAAAGGTAATAACTAAGGGCATGGCCACTGAAATGTTTTCAGGAGTTAGGCCCTTTCGGGAATTAATATTGTAGGTGTTAAAAATTTGCTGTTCAAAGTGTACGGTATTGGTTTTTTAAATCAGAAGTCTGTTTTGCTGTCGATACATTTCTTTCAAGTAAGGGTGCATGCCGTATAAAATAGTGCACGTATAATTTTACTTGAAAGTACTTATTATCGCATTAAATACACTCGTACAGCTTGTTCTTCCATATGTTTTCATTTTTAGTATAAGAAATAGATATTGAAAGTTCCTTTTCTAAAAAATACATGATATTTGAGGATACCGAGTGTATGGAATGTCAGTACATGTATATAGTAATTCTATCGCACATAGTATTTTTCTTATTTCGTTTATTAAAAAGCATATACATTGTACTAAGGAACCAGTTTAACTCATTGAATATCTATATTTTTCTGGTACGATAGTAAAGCGCATGATATTATCTGGTCTGTATGTTCGTTTCTCCGTTCGTTCATTCTTTCGTCCGTTCCTTTATCCGTCCGTTCGTCCATTCATACTGCATAATATTAACGTTATTGGTGATTGGTGATTGTAGTTGAAGATGAAGTTGTATTAAGATCAATTTGAAACTTAGTATACATGTTCATAATAATGTGATCTTTCTAAATTATATGCCAAAATTAGCATTTTGACACAAGTTTGACTGAATATGGAAAATGATTGTGCGAGCAAATCATCATGGACAAATGTTCTTGTTTTTTAAATTCATTTATAATAAAGAAGATGTGGTATAATTGCAAATGAGACAACACTTCACAAGAGACCGAATGACACAGAAATTAACAACAATAAGCAAAGCCCATACCGCATAGTCTGTTATAAAAGGCCCCGAAATGACAATAGTAAAACAATTCAAACGAGAAATCTATCGGCCTAATTTATGTACAAACTAGAGGCTCTCAAGAGCCTGTGTCGCTCACCTGTATAGACTGTGGTTTTGGAAATCATGTAAAATAAGGTTAAATTCATATAGATACCCTAATAATGATTGAGGCCAAGTTTGGTTTAATTTGACCCAGTAGTTGAATTAAAAGCAGAAGATTTTTGAAATATTTACAAAAATTACCAATAAATTACAGAAAATAACTTTAAAGGACAATAACTCCAATAAGATGTCAATTGCCAATTGGTAATGTTAACTTATTTGTAGATCTATCTTTGCTTGATATTTTTGCTGTTTACAGTACATCTCAATCTATAATGATAAAGATAAAAAGTTTCCCTTCCTCGGCTCCAAAATTTATTTCACCCAGGGCCTGTTTAATGCTGAAAATGCCTTTAAATGTTTTTATGGAACACCCTTCAAAAACAAACTTGGCATGGGTTCCACTGACCCCGACGGGTCTGGGTAGCATTCACCCAATATAAGTATGCTGAAAGAAAAGATATAATGATGGTTTATAGAAAAAGTAACACTGAATAATTCTGAAAATGGAACATATCAAGGAGAAATTATTAGCACCCCCCCCCCCCCCCCTGAAAAAGTTGCACCCCCTGGAAAACAATTAAGTCAACCGATTGTAGTCTTAAAATAGTTATTGAAGACCCCTTCTCATTATATAAATTAGTTTTCCAGTTGTGACCATTTGAAATTGATTTTTTACATTTTTCCCATAGACTTCTATAATAGTAAACCCCTATTATATAGCTATGTTCTGTTTTTACCAATGGGGACCATGTTGGTTGTAGGGCAGGATCATCGGATACATTTTTCAATCAAGATATTACAATAACAATTGTGGCTAAGTTTAATTCCATTTGGCCAAGTAGATTAAGAGGAGAAGATTTTTGTAAAAGATTAAAAAAATTGACGAAAAATAGTTTTTATTTAAAGGGCAATACATCCTTAAAGGGTCAATTTGACAATTTTGGTCATGTTGACCTGATGAACATTTTGACCCCGTTAGATTTACACTAAATGTTTTAGTTTCAGAGATACAAGCAAAACTGCATT